TACAACATTGTAAGCAGAACTTTTAATTTCATCAGTGAAATATTTTACAACAATTCTAAAACCTGGCAAAGAAAACAATCAAAATTAAGTCGTGTATTCCCAAGTATGATCAAATAGCCATCCTCATAGATTTACAGCCTGTGTTTTTTTCCTGAAATAACTTACGAACATGTCAGGGCAGAAGCGAAAATAGTCAAAAACATAATCAAACATGATATTCTTTAAGAATTGGTAAGAAATCAGTCAAAAATAAACAGTTATCAGAGTCAGCAATATTTGGTTTCCAAAGCAAGAATCCATGTCTCAGTTTCACATTAAATCTCAAAATCATAATTGAATTTTCATAGCTTATAAAAGCAGGGGGAGGAAATCCACATTGGGGGGAAGAACAAAAAAAGCTCACACACATTTTTGCAACAGGACATACAATAGGATACACAATTCATATACACTCACATAATTTCTTTCAGAGTAAATTAACAACAGAAACATACACGGCTTGAAGTAGTTCGAAACTGATTAAATCACATCCACACATAAGCAATACACAAACAGCAAGAAGCATTACAGCATCCCAAAGTTCACATAGATAACATACAATCAAGAAGGAGACACATATCGTCAAAGACGTTCATGCCACCGCGCCAAAAGCAATTGTTGTGGCCAGAAATAACCTTAAACCGCTGAGAATCCTTTAACTCATCTGTTGAAGCCATCGCATCGATGACACCACTACGGACATTTCACTTCCGTCGGCAAGTCGTTATCTTCCAGGTATTACTCTATATTCCCTTCTGATTGCTCTTGAGATGTTGATCTTTGATATTATCATGGTAGAATTGTGTTGAATTTTGTTGTTTTAGAAAAATGGAAAAAGAGGGTCGCGTAAAGGAGTGAGAGAGGTGTTAATCTGTTGAGGTTCAAAAGAGAGGTGATGGTGATGTGTGCGGTTGAGAGGGAGTATTGGCAGTGAGTTTGCAGAAGAGAGAAAGGGAGATTGAATGGAGAGACTGACGACATACGAGAGAGAAAAGGTGATAGTGAAAGAAAGAATGAGTGAATCTTTTTTTGTTTTTTTTTATGGCATGGTTGTTGGTAACGAGTCCAAGCGGGGCTTAATCCCCCACCGGCCCATGTTTTTTATGATTTTTTTTTATTTTTGTTTGGTTTCATGGCTTCCCAATAAGCTTATCATAATTTAATTTTTATTTTTTTTATTTTTTTTCATTTTTTAATTTTTTTAAATTTATTTATTAATTTACCTTTGTTAGTTTTTATGTGGACTTAATTAGGTTTTTATTAATAAGTTAATTTGGTTAAATTTGAGATTCATGCTTTATCTGAATTTGTTATCAGTTTTTAAATTTATGATTGAGTTCTTAATTTAAAGTTACGATGAAGGCTTAATAGAGGTGATCACTATTTGGAGCAATTTAGTTTTAGCTATGATATCGACATTTTGTTTGATGACTTGACTGTTTATAGACTCTTTACCTTAGGATTGTCTTGCTTATATAATTTGCCTTGTTCCTATAAGTTATTGATTCAAGTGTATCTTCGATGAGTTGGACTAGATAGGCACCCAGACCTTAAGATAAACATGTTGGCATGATAACATTAGCATAGTTTCTCCCATCTATCCTAGTTTTAAGTCTATCGAATCAGGATAGCTTTCTATTTCATTCAAAACTCACTTCTTTTATCAAAATACGAAAGTCACTTTAACAGTATTTCTAATCTTTACTATATCCCAAACTTTTTTTTTATAATATTTACAAAAAAACAATGTATTATGGTCAAACCAATTAACCGTGATGATACATTTATGGAGTGACTGGGTTCGAATTCCAGCTCCAACAATTTTCTACTTTTTTGTTATAACACACACACACAGATATATATATATATATATATATATATATATATATATATATATATATATATATATATATATATATATATATATATATATATATATATATATATATATATATATATATATATATATATATATATATATATATATATATATATATATATATATATATATATATATATATATATATATATATCACCATGGTTGTTAATGTCAACCGTTATGAAAGGCATTACATTTCATCACGGTTTTTGAATATGATCGTGGTGAAGTTGATTACCCATATATAAGGGAATTAGCTCTTGCTTCTTGGCAGTATCGTCGTATCTCTCACAACAAAACCCTAGCACACATTTTCTCTCTTCTTCTTCATCATTAGCTTTCCTATTCTATAGTTTAACCTTAATCTTGTTCTCCATACATAAAGATATTCTTCTTCTTCCTTATTTTCATGTTTTCATATTTGTAGTTATTATGTTTCACATGATTTTCTTCTTGTTCGAGAGTTTATGTTTTTTTGTTTGTTTTATGTTTCGCATGATTTTCATATTACCTACTTTGGTTTCACATGTTTTTTTGTTGGTTTGGATATGCTTTAAGTTTGGATATGCTTAAGGTTTAGGTTTTGAAAAAGAGTTTCTCTTGCCTACGACCACTTTGACACCATTTAAACCTATCCTACTCTCAAATCTCAAATCCTTCTTTTAGATTTCAGATTCTTCTCTTAACATGAATAGTGGAAGAAAACTTGTCCATAAGATTGAGACTTCAAATGAGGTTATTGATCACATTAATGTTGTTGAACCGTCTGGTGGAACAGGCTATAAGAAGATTCTTATAGGGAATCTTAACCCTGAAAAGATAAAGAATGTAGAGGCTATTGTGAAGGGCCTAATAAATTTAGATGCAACTGATTCTGAATCAGATGACCTTGAAAACTGCATGAATTCAACTAGGCATGAAGATTGAAGACCTTGTTATGTTTCACATGTTAACATGTTGATAAAATTTTGTTTAATTACAATGTACTACTCGTTAACATTTGTTGGATTGCATGTTAACCTTTTATGATGATAATGTTTTGTTGGATTACAATGTACTTCTAGTTAACCTTTTCTAAGATTATAATGTACTACTAATTTATGTTAAATGCTATTTTTTCATGGTTTTTGTAGGATTATATTGATAAATGTTTTTGCATGTTGTTGATTTTGTTGTTGATGATGTTTTGTATTGTTTGTTGATAATTTATTTTCATGTGTAGTTAGCAAGTGGTTATTATTTTTTACTTATCACTTATGCGGATGGTTGTGTGAACATGGATCTAAGAGAGTTGCGAACTTCTGTCGACTATGGAAATATTATATGAGTCTTTCATATAATATTCTCATAGTGAAAACATGTTTTCTACTCTTCTTTATACTTTATCCTCTTCATATCTTCCAGAAACGGTTAGTTATCAAGTCCTCCTAACCTATGTTAATTAATAGATGTTTTTTTTGATAAATATTGTTAGTGAGTTTTTTATATCATACGTGATTGCTTGTTTCACCAACCCCTCATTGAACTTGCATTTATTTAAATAGATTTTTTAGAAAATAATTAGAAAATTTTAATTATTCTTGAAAATAAACTTAGGCGATGTAATGTTTATCGAATTACATGCATCTTATAATTCAACATTTCCTTTTTAGCCTGTAGAATTTGATTCTATGCTACAAATTATTCAAAACAATGATGATAAATGGATATGGTTAATATGGTTGTATATGGTTAATGAAAGGCAGGGAAAAACAGGAAATCTCATATTTTATGATAAACTCTTACACATCTTTTCTAATCGGACCAATCCGCCTACTCGACTTCTTATATTGAAAGTGATTGGTGTTCCTCTTCCAACAAGACTATTATTCCGTACCATTAGGGAAGAAGATTGGGGTAAAATATGCACTTCTTCGGGAATCAAAAAAAAGGGACCTACTTGAATTGGATAGTTTGGCTTTAATTTTTTTCTTCCTCGATACTCAATGAAATCTTCTTTTTGAAAAATGGGTTGAGGATGATCGAAATAAGCAAAAATACTATTTCTAGGAAAAATACCATTGATAGGTATTTCAATGGAGACACCGGAAGGGGACATTAGTTCGTTCTTTCGTTCTTGAATCGATTGGAATGGAAATGGAATAAGAAATCGATTTCTTCGCCTTTTCGCCAAGAAATAAAAAGTATCGTGAAAAATAGCGGGATATATTAAATAAGAATGATCCATATATATGATTGGATTAAATATTGAATAATCGCTGATCCCCTTTTCTTTTGTACCAAAAGTATGGAAACCAAAGAATTTATGTTTTACTTGATTATTCCTTTCTACAAGATTCGAAATATTTTTTTTCCATTCGAAAGTGAATCCATGGTAATTTGATATTGATCCTTGTGAAGTAAAAAATGGGTTGTATTAGACCTGCACGACTTTCCTGACAATATCCATAAATGACTTGTTTTTGGTAATATATGTACATTACTATCCATAAATTCTGATGCATGGTACACATCGGTACTCCAATGCATTTCCCCTTCTGAGTCAGAATAAATATGTTTTCGAACCCTCTCTTTCAAATTAAAAGTATATGTTCCCACGAGGATCTCCGCAATCACTTGTTCTGATTTTACATATTGATCATTTTTAACTAATAGAAAACTTTTTGGTGGAATAATGACGTTATGTATAATATCGTAACTTTCTATAGTTACATACAAGTCTATATTACATATAAAAGCAGGATATCCATGACGTGTACGTGTAGGGTGAACTAAATCCTCATTCCATTTTATCTTTCCATTCGAGGGGGCTCGCACATATTCAGCAGTACCCCCTGTGAATACTCCACCAGTATGAAAAGTTCTTAATGTTAGTTGAGTTCCCGGTTCTCCAATAGATTGACCAGCAATAATGCCTACAGCTTCTCCCAATTCTACCAGGTCCCCATGAATAGGACTCCGCCCATAACACAATCGGCAGATCCACGACGTATTCCTACAGGTAAAGGGGGTTCGAATAAATATGGGTTGTGTTTGAAAAGTTATGAATCGATTGATAAGTCCAATTCTAATATCTTGATTTCTAACGACAATGCACCGTGAACCTATATATATATATATTGTCTGCTACTACACGACCATTTAATGTTTGTATCAAAATTCTTTCTAGCATCATTCCATTTCGGATGTTTACAGAAATCCCACGGATGGCACCGCAATCTGTTCGCCGTACAACAATGTGTTGAACCACTTCAACAAGTCGACGTGTAAGATATCCAACATCTGATGTTCGTACAGCAGTATCTACAACCCCTTTACGGGCTTCGTAGCAAGAAATTATATATTCTGTTAAAGACAGTCCTTCACGAAAATTGCTTTGAATGGGTAAATCAATCATTTGTCCTTGTGGATCTGACATTAATCCTCTCATTCCGACTAATTGGTGTACTTGAGATGCATTTCCTCTAGCTCCTGAAAAAGACATTATATGGACTGGATTAAAGGTGTCAGTCATCCTAAAATTGGGAGTCATTTGTTGCCGCAAATATTCGCTTGTAGCATACCATATTTCAATGGATTGGCGTAATTTTTCTACCGCATGGACATTCCCATAATGATTATGTTTTTCCAAAACAGAACTTTGTTGTTCAGCATCTTGGACTAGCCATCCTTTAGAAGGTATTGTTAAAAGATCATCAATTCCTAATGAAATAGATGTAGCAGTAGCTTGATGGAATCCTAGAGTCTTTACTTGATCCAGGATGTGTGATGTATATGCCATTCCGAAATGATCTATTAATCTGCTAATAAGTCGTTTAATGGCAGTTCCATCTATCACGTTATTGTGAAAGACTAGATTGGTCCCTTCTGCCATAAGTCCCTCCATATTCCACTCAGTGGTATTCGGTTCGACGATAATAGATTTGAGTGAATGATTGGAAAACTCCCTTTTCTTTATGTTTATTTACGTAGAAAATTGAAAAGATGCTAGTTGACCTGAATTTACACCAGTATCCTAAGTTTACTTAGCGTGGATACCAACACTAACCATCTATATGATTAGATACTATATGATGAATCGGCTCGAGAAAAACCTTGTATAGCTTCTTCAATTTCTCGATAAAAAGAAATATGACCAATAGTGGTTCGAATGTATATACAACGAATTTCTTTTTTTATACTTCTTATTACTAAATATACCTCATAAATCTCATAATAGGTACCAAAAGATTCATAGTGAACTTCGATAGGAACTTCTCTTGAAGACATAATGCATTGATGTATTTGCCACCGAAGCCAAAAAGGACTATCCAAATTTATTCTTTTCTATCTGTAAGATCCAATTACATACCTGTTGGGTGTGTCCCTCCTTAAGTGGGGCTACACACTTTTTAAAGAAAAAGAAAAAAAGTGAGTTGTGATTGGGCTTGACCTAAAACGTGTCTGTGTGTGAATGGGTTATACACATGTGTATGTTTATATAAAAGGGGATAATCCCTAGTTGGAAGCGGAGATAGATAGATAGATAGATAGATAGATAGATAGAGAGAGAGAGAGAGAAAGAAAGAGAGAGAGATAGAGAGAGAGAGAGAGAGAGAGAGAGAGTGTGTGTGTGTGTGTGTGTGTGTGTGTGTGTGTATGTGTGTGTGTGTGTGTGTGTGTGTGTGTGTGTGTGTGTGTGTGTGCTTCGAGAAAATAAAAAGAAAGTTGCAGTTGCAAGACAAAGAGGAAGAAGTTTTGGGTTCCGGTGTCTGTTTAGGTTACCTCTTCTGTTGAAATTTGAGTATGTTATTTTTGTTACCAAGTTAGTTGTTTAAATAATTTTTCTAAATAATGTTGTCTTCTCTTTGTGTCTGTTTAGGTTACCTATTTGGGTTTTTCTCTCTGGTTGTTAGAATCACTATAGTTGGTGATTATTTAATGTTTTAGATGTTCCTAGAGATTTAGGAAGACATTAATTGTAACCATTATTTTGATAGTGGAAGTTTTTGGCTAGACTATGTCCTGTGGTTTTTATTCTCTCACATTGAAAGGAGTTTTCTACGTAAAAATTCTGGTGTTCTCATTTGTAACTTTTACTCCTTTTATTATTGTACTTGAAGTTATTAGTTGTGATGGATAAATTGAATTGTTCAGGTTCCATAAGAAAGAGATATTTATCGCTTCCGTATATTATGTGCGTGCACTCTGATCTCAACAGTTCCACCATGTTTGAAACATATAACCGTGGTGAAATGTTAAAATGCAAGAATGGTGTTGCTGGGATTCAAACCCATAACCAATAAATTATTTCACAATGGTTGTTTTCTTTAATCATTGTTATAAGTAGCGTGCTACCTAACTTATGATCACGGTCACTCGCTTGTTGTGGAAACTATCATACATACAATCACATGCTACCTAACAACGGATGTGAAATCGTCATCATATGTGTTTTTCAACCATTACTATATGTGTTAGTAAAAAAATGCCCATATCTTCTGTTAGTGAAAAGTGGTATTTTTGAGGAGCAATTTGTTAGCTTGGATTTTCGACTAGATCAAATCTCAACACATTAAGAAAAATTATAAAAACATTTTGGAAGTTTGAAAAGGGAGTTTGATGTTGATCCTCTTTTGATAGGGTAAGTATTTGTTTTATTGCCTCATCGGGGATTGGGGAAATATTACCGCCATTCTACAGTTGATCAAGTTTTAAGCAAGGGTTTTAAAAGGGTTTTGGCTACGAAAAGTCTTGATCGTATGAAAAGTAAGTAGCAATGGTAAAAAGTTGATATTTTAACAGTTTAAAAAGCATGTCAAGATTATATTTTGTTAACCTAATTCATACATATTCTATTAGTCGAGCATGTGAATTTGTTAATAATCAATATAATTATGTATCACTCATCAACACCATTATGTCTAGTCGATGTCGTGGGTTTTACCATATTGTTTAATCGATGATCTCTCACTCTATTAAGAAATACAATAACATTAAGCGTTCCTCTTGTTGATTCACTTCTGTTGCATAGCTGCGAAAAAGGAAAGGGTCGGCTGACTGATAGAAGAGTCGCCATCGAACGTTATTTATCCCAAAAGAGAGGGAAAGGAAACCATCGAATGAAAACCTGACGAAAAGGGAAAGACAAGGTCATCGCAACCAATTCTTGGGTTCAGGAGTCTGTTATGCAAAGGGGAAGGTATGAACACCCTCCACGTCCATTATACTCAACAGGATCCATGCTTGTTGTCTAATCTATGGGTGAAAACTATCTAAGAAGCTGCTAAACGGGGGGGGGGGGGGGGGGGGGGGGGGGGGGACGGAAAGAAAAGACTCGATAGGACATCGTCGCCCTATGCCTATGTATTCCCTCATGCAATGGGAAAGTCAGATTCAATGTAGTTTGGAAAGCTACAGGTGAAGGGGGGAAAGGTTGATCGCCACGACACCGTCGTCTTGTGCCTACGTATCTTAAACAGAAGGATTAGGAATCCTAAGGGATCATGGAAAAAGAGCTCAAGCAAACACTTAGCAATTCAATCACAGATGAAAGGAGATGAAGATGAAAGTGACTTAAACAAGTCAATGCTATAAGAGATGCAAACATGAAATCCAAACATAAATGCAAGGATGGAAAGATGCAACAAAACTCAAAGACAAATGAGAATAAAACACAAGCAAGTGACTTAAACAAGTCAACAAGAGATGAGATGAAATGGGAGAAGCAAGCTCCTACAACCATCAACCATCAATCATCCAAACAAAAAGGTGCCATCCAAAGACGCACACAAAAGAAAATATGGAGGAAAAAGTGTGGGGCAACAACCACCACAAGCACATCTCGATCATATAATTCATGAAACACAAGCAAAACAATGCAAACCAACAACAATATTCATGAAAAACTCAAAGTGTACATAAAGGCACCAAATTATCATGAACAATGGTCAAACAAACATGGGGCAGAGGTGAATCAACATGAGAAAAGGCTCAAATCAAACTTAAAACAATATTCAAGGCACAAGTAAGATCATGGCAAGTGAGAGAAACTAAGTTCTAACACAACCTCAACACTTAAGACAAGTGGAGAAGCATGATTGAAAGATAACTTGCAATGCAAATTACACATGTAAATGACCCAAGACAAGCAAAAAGAACCTTAAGCATGTTAGAATAATGTAACAAGGCTCACAAGATGCATATGGGATCACTTGAGATCATATCCCAAACAACTAGGTCAAACTAGCATATATAAGCAACCATAAAAGTAACTTGACTTGCAAAATTCACCAAAAATAGGAGGAAAGCTCAATAAATACCAAATAAAATCTCAAGCCAAGATAAAACAATTGGTAACCAGAAACCAAAAGCTCAAGCAAAGAGCTCCCTCAAGGCACCACCAAATAAAACCAAAAGATATGATTGTTGCACCCCAAAATTTGCCTAACCTTTTTCTTACTGGGTTTATGTTTCATTGCATTAGCATATCATTGATATAACATTTCCATAGCATAGAATTATTTATTTAATAGGGGATCAAGAGAAGAGCCTATCTAGAGGTCTTAAGGAGTCACCATAGTCATCAGGAAGAGGGTTGGGTTCTTAAGGAGTTTATTTGCTTGTATGGGGTTTGTCTCCTAATATAAGGACCAATTGAAGATCATCAATGGACGGTGAGGTCTTGAACAAGGTGAGAGGATATGAGTAGAGCTCATTGAAGTGCTTTAGGGGTCATGGTGGAGCTCAATTAATTCATTATGCCAAGTGTGAAGAGTCACAGTTGAAGGTGTTGCAAGTAGGGTTTCTATCTGAGTAATCCTAAGTCAATTGTGCAATTGAAGAGAATAAAAGCTCATTTTTTAGTCTTTGAAATCATGGATAGTTGTGTTGAGACACATGAGATGATATTCCAAGATCTATACAAGAAAATTTTAAGGTGTGAGGAATTGCTAAATTAGGGTTCTCAGGGTAAAATCCCCTATTTAGTGCCTAACATCAAGACCACTTATCTCAAGATGCAAGTTTCATCTCTACTTTTGGCCAACATGAAACTTATAGAACATGCTCTTAGATTTAATTTGAGTACTAGAAGTCCTCCATTGGATTTATAGAACTCAAGTTATGGCCCAGACAAGTTACAAGTCATCTGAGGAATGTGAAATTTGTCTGTGAAAGTTCACCAACTTCCAAGGGACTTTTAACCTAGAAGGGTGTTTCTCCTAAACTTTTGACCAACATGAAAGTTGTAGGTCTTGAACTTTGCTTTACAAATTGTACTATAAGTCTTCCATATGATTTGTAGAACACAAGTTATGAGGTTTACAAGTTAGGGGTATTTTGTGAAATTAAGATTATAGGTCATTTGGCATTATAGGTCATTTTCTCCATCTTGCATGCTTCAAACGAAATTTTGTTCAACACAAAGCTTGCTCAAAATAATGTTTTTAGGTCAACCATATATTCATGATGAATTGATTTGGATTTAGTTGAGACTTGGTTTGAGGAATTTTGCAAAAAAGAAGAATTTAAAGGGATTTGGTTGAAAAATCCATAATTAATTCATTTGTGCTCAAAATGGACCATATGAATACTCATTTTAATTAGAAAAAGCATTCTAAAAACATTGGAAACAATGGATTTTTCATTTGAGGTCAATTTCATGGTGTTATGGTTTGTTACTTCACACGTAAGCAACACTTCACAATTTGGTCAGGGCTGCCAATAAAGGCCAACAATTTGCCACTAAGGGCCGCCAATACAGGCCAACAATTTGCCACTAAGGGCCGCCAATACAGGCCAACAATTATGATATGTTATGGGACACAACTATTATGGACTATAACACAACAACAACAACTGTGTAACAACCGTGCAACAAGGCATCAAGCCTACAACCAATTATCC